GATTTAAATTTGTGAGTGTATGGGAATATATTAAAGATCAATATAATAACATTTATCATCATTGGCAAAAAATAAAACAAATGAAATAGATATTTGTTAACTTCTTCCCATTTTTTTATCACTGTTTGGCACTAAAATTTTTATTCATCTTTTTATTTCTATTACTAATGAACCATTAACAACATTACAAATTTTTTATTCATCTAATTTTAACCTATTAAACGTTCCTTCCTCCTCATCATTGGATGTAATGGAATCTGCTACTGTAAAAGAGACCAGCATTCCTGATCATCGCATGTACTGGAATCTGCTACGGTAAAAGAGACAAGCATTCCTCATCATCGCATGTACTGGAATCTGCTACGGTAAAAGAGACAAGCATTCCTCATCGTCGCATGTACTGGAATCTGCTACGGTAAAAGAGAAAAGTATTCCTCGTCATCGCATGTACTGGAATCTGCTACGGTAAAAGAGGCAAGCATTCCTCATCATCGCATGTACTGGAATCTGCTACGGTAAAAGAGAAAATTATTCCTCGTCATCGCATGTACTGGCATGTGCTACGGTAAAAGAGACAAGCATTCCTCGTCATCGCATGTACTGGAATCTATTACGGCAAAAGAGACAAGTATTCCTCATCATCGCATGTACCGGAATCTGCTACGGCAAAAGAGACAAGCATTTCTCATCATCGTGTGTACTGGAATCTGCTACGGCAAAAGAGACAAGCATTCCTCATCATCGCATGTACTGGAATCTGCTACGGTAAAAGGGTATTAACTTTTAATAAAAAGTAGAAGTTGATTTCAAACAACTAAAAAGTTTCAAACAATTTTGTGGCAATTAAGCTATGGTTACTTCGATATACAGACACCTACTAACCTATCCGTTGACGACTCAATTATCTAATTAATAATATCTCAATTATTGTTGTCCAATTTGTAAGTAAATAGGATTCACCTTGGAAACATGTATATTTGTTTAACATTATTAACAAATAACCTCATTAAAATTATTTGTAATATTTGTGCATTTAGTGAGATTTTTAATAGATGGTCAACTTTATTAATATCTAAATAATAATATTTAATATTTTGATTAATTAACCAATAATAAGAATTCGTATTTAAGGTGTAATATTTAAATTTAATTTTGTAATGGATCATTGTTTTCTGTATCAAATAAATTATTCAAATGGGGTATCTATACAATTTTCTCATCTTTCATTAGAAAATTATATAGACATTTTGATCATTGCGAACGAAAATGATAAATATACATAAATAACAATAAAATAATATAAATACATAAAAAATACATAAATAAATGAAAGCCTAAACCAGATGGAAGCCCTCGGCAGGGGAGACCAAACGGCCGAGGGTCACAGGGAAATGGAAAGAAACCGGCGTACAATGCGGGCAGTTTCGAGGAGCACCGCCTTCAGCATTTGAGCCCGGAGCAATCCGTCACGGAGTCCCAGTCGCCTCAGATGACCTGAGAGGCTGATTAGGATTAGCCCGTTTGCAGAAACGACTACAGGTATAATTTCGGTCGACAGCCCATCCCACATGTCGGTCACCTCGTGAGCCAGGTGCAGATATTTTGTTCGCTTATCTGTTTCGGCTTTCACGAGGTTCTCGTCATACGGAATGGTCGACCAAAAATATCCTTGACTGTGCCCGGTCCATCAGAACAATATCAGGCTTATTCGCAAGAATAGTCCTGGCTGTGATGACGGCCCGGTCCCATTAGAGCCTGGCGCGGTTATTTTCGAGCACGGCTTCCGGCAAGTACTTGTAATACAGCAGTTTCCGGTTCACGAGACCGTATTTTAGGGCGAGCTCCTGGTGTAGAATTCTGGCTACTAGGTTGTGCCTGTGCAAGTACTCAGAGTTAGAAAGCGCCGAACAACCGGAGATGACATGCCTAAGTGATTCACCGGGATGACAAGCTCGACATATGTCGACGGTGCCATGTAATTATTTTTATGGGGTATCTGTATAGTTTCTCCTCCGGTTGGGTTCTATAAATATATACTTATAAATAAAATGAAAAGATAAATATACATAAATATCAATTAAATAAAATAAATACAAAAAATACATAAATAAATAAAGATCCAACCAGATGGAAGCCCTCGGCAGGGGTTACCAAACGGCCGAGGGTTAGGAGGAAAGAGAAAGAAACCGGTGGACGTGCGGGCGGTATCGAGGAGCACTGCCTACTGCATTTGAGCCTGGAGCGGTTCGCCACGGAGTCGCAGTCGCCTAAGATGACCCGAGAGGCTGACTGGGATTAGCCCATTCGCAGAGACGACTACAATAATAATTTCGGCCGGCAGACCACCCCACATGTCGGTCACCTCGTGAGCCAGGTCCAGATATTTTGTTCGCTTATCTGTTTCGGCTTTCACGAGGTTCTCGTTATACAGAATGGTCGACCAAAAATATCCTTGACTGTGCCCGGTCCATCAGCACAATATCAGGCTTATTCACAACAATAGTCCTGTCTGTGATGATAGCCCGGTCCCAGTAGAGCCTGGCGCGGTCATTTTTGAGCACGGCTTCCGGCAAGTACTTGTAATACGGCACTTTCCGGTCCACGAGACCGTGTTTCAGAGCGAGCTCCTGGTGTAGAATTCTGGCTACTAGGTTGTGCCTGTGCAAGTACTCAGAGTTATAAAGCGCCGAACAACCGGAAATGACATGCTTAAGTGAATCCCCGGGATGGCGACAAGCTCGACAGACGTCGACGGTGCCATCCTTTAGGATGTATCTCCGATAGTTGTTGGTCTTAATAATCTGATCCTGTATTGCACAGACAAAACCTTCGGTTTCCCCGAAGAGGTCACGGAAACGTAGCCAGTTGAGGAAGGCAACTGTATCTACGAAGGGCTCATGTAGAGCCTTGTAGTACCTCCCGTGGAGCTCCTTCTCCTTCCATACAGTCTCCCGGTCGGAAATGCTAAGCACTGCTGGGTCCTGCCATTGCTCGTTGGCTAAGGATAGAGGGGTAAGCCCTTTATCACTATAAATGACGTCATTATAGAATGGATCATCCGATCTCGCCAAAAAGTATTGACGGAGACTGCACACTTCGCGATTATGCATGGTGAGCGCGCTCAGAAAGCTACGCCCACCATGCTTTCGCGGCAAGTACAGCCTCATTACCGACGATCTCGGATGATGCATCCTATGGGACGTCATGGTAGTGCGGACTTTTCTATCCAGGGCGTTAAGCTCAGTCTGAGTCCACCTGAGTATGCCAAAGGTATACATGAGGACAGGCATGACCCAGCAGTTATATGCGTGTGACTTATTCACACCGGACAAAAGGCTGTTAAGCACTTTGGTCAAGCGTGCATAAAACACGTCGCAAACTGACTGTTTCATACCAGCCTCATCGATACCGATGTTCTGTGACATACCCAGGTATCGGTATGTTTCAGCCTCGGAAAGGGTCCTTAAGTTGACGGGCATAGACAAGTCTATGCCCTCAGAGTTAGCAACCCTTCCCGTTTCAACATGGAGGACCGCACACTTATCCGTCCCCAGCTCCATTCCAATGGAACTGCTAAATTCACAAGTGATGTTTAGCAGTTCCATAAGATGGGAGCGACTGGAGGCGAATAACTTGAGGTCATCCATATAGAAAAGGTGGGTCACTTTTATCCCTCCTTTCCGTAGCTGAAATCCCCTCCCGGAGCCCTCCAGTAAGGTACTGAGAAGGTTCAGAGAGAGGTAGAACCAGATTGGACTCAGACAATCACCCTGGAAGATACCCCTTCTTATCCTTATGTGGTTCTCAGCAGCCATCATCCGCTCGCCCAGATGACAAAGGATCGTACTCCACTGCCCCATACACTGCTCGAGGAAGTCTCTAACTGTACAGTCAATCTCGTACAGCTCGAGGACCCTCTTTAGCCTTGTATGGGGCACCGAGTCGTACGCCTTTCTGTAGTCTATCCAGGCGGCAGAGAAGTTCCGACGGTTGCGTTTCACTTTGCCTATGACCGCGTCAATGAGGAGTGTTTCATTGGTTCCACGACCACCGCCACGACATCCATTTTGAGCGCGTGACATCACCTGGTTTAGCTCCAGGTGACGAGTGATTCTCGCGCTCAAAATGGATGTCAGTGTCTTATATATGGTGGGTAGACACGTGATGGGGCGGTATTTGCTCGGGTCTGTGGTATCCTGATCTTTAGGAACCAAGTGAGTGATCCCAGTAGTGAAGAGGCTCGGGAGCGACTTCTGGTCGAGAGCCTCTTGAAACTGTCGGGCGAGCACAGCGTGACGCACTATGAACCCCTTCAGCCAGTAATGATGCAGCCCGTCGAGCCCCGGACTTTTCCAGTTCGGGGCCCTACGGACCGCCTCAGCCACGTCTTCCAGCGTTATGGTGATGGGGTCCATAGGCGTAACACTCGCACCCTGGCTCGCCACAACTTCCATCCAGGTGCCCTCGCTGTGGTTTACGGGCTCTGACCACAGGCCACGCCAGAATGCGATAATGTCAGCCTGATCCGGTCCTTGGCCCGCTCCACATACCTTTGGTCGCTCCAATAATTTATAGAGCCTCTTCTGATCACTCTGGAAGAGATGATTCTGGTTGAACCGCCTTGACCTTTTGGTAAATCGTCGAATCCGCTTCCCCCAAGCAGCGATCTTTTGCTTCAGGTCGTCTATGTGCTCCGTTAGTTTCTGCGTGATATCCGGCTAGGACCAACTGATATTTGTCCCAGCAAACGCCACACAATCCTCGGTCTATTATTACCCGACCTGAAGCTTGTCAGTCTGCCGATAAGGGCCCTTGCCTTTGCGACACGGTCCTCGATTCTTTTTCTCCAGGCTGGGATGGCGCTACTTTGTGTAGTAGCGCGTCCAGCCATGGGAAGTTTGGCGCCAATAATACGGCAAACTGCCACTGCGGCGCCAAAGAGAATTGAGTCCGTCTCGCAAAGGTCCCGGCTGGCTTCCAAATAGGTCACCAGCATTGGGTTAAGAGCCCTCACGACAGCCCGATTTCGCTTGCTTAGGGGTATGCGGGGGAAGTCGCGGTCGATTTTCGAGAGGGGTGCTGCGCGTTTCCAAAATCGCCTCTTCCAATATACTCCTCATTTGCTCTAGTTCGTGGGAGACTATTTCATCGTCGTCCGAATCAACCACAACTGGAAGATCCATGGCGGCTTCCACGTGTGGATGCTGGTCTGTCGAATGTGGAGCTGCATCTCTAGCCATAGTCGATTCATTCGACGACGGAATAGCCTCACGTCGTAGTCGTTCGAGTTCGGCATCATCAAATATTTTCGAGCGCATGATGTACCGAACTCGGTCTGCCAGGTTTTGTTCCGTGACGGGGATAGAAGGCTCCAGCTCAGCAAAAAAGCAATGCATCCGAGACCTATACGCTGTTCCCACAGTTTCTTCCCCTTTCGCCCTATAGTACGCCCGCAATGCGTTTTCGTTCATAGATTTTGTCCAACGCATGCGACGTGCTCCACCAGCGGCGGGTGCCGCTTGCTGAGTCTGAGAAGACCCAGCCGACACCAAGCCTTCTGGTGGGGATGATGGATGCGAGGGGCTGCTAGGTGATCGTGCAGCTCCTTCGCGCTCGGCTGGCGGCCCGCATGCTGCCGCGTCCAGCGCCAGCTCCAGACGCGCCCTGGCGACCCCCAGGCAGCGGCCCTATGCGCGTTCCTTTTGTGTTTCTTCCATCATCCATTTTATGGGCCCCAAATAACGGGAGACGCTCAAGCCCGGCACCGTTTCGTGGTTGGGTCATATGCACAAAAGGACCTTTGCACCTACAATTTTGCCTAGGCACGGCGCTCACACCTCTTGGCAGGATGCTGACTGACTGCGCCGACGTAACAGTTTTGTCACATAACTGTTACGTCAGTGGGCGATGGGGTCGTCACTTCCCTACGCCTTAGAATTATTATTATTTGGGGTATCTATATAGTTTTCTCATCTGGTTGGTTATATAAATATATAATTATAAATTAAAATGAAACGATAAATTTACATAAATATTAATAAAATAAAATAAATACAAAAATACATAAATAAATAAAAGCCCAACCAGATGGAAGCCCTCGGCAGGGGAGACCAAACGTCCGAAGGTTAGGAGGAAAGGGAAAGAAACCGGCGGACGATGCGGGCGGTATCGAGGACCACTGCCTTCTGCATTTGAGCCCGGAGCGGTCCGTCACGGAATCCCAGTCTCCTCAGATGACCCGAGAGGCTGACTGGGATTAGCCCATTCGCAGAGACGACTACAGGAATAATTTCGGCCGGCAGACGACCCCACATATCGGTCACCTCGTGAGCCAGGTCCAGATATTTTTTATATTTTTATTTATTATTATTATATTTGGGGTATCTGTATAGTTTTCTCATCTGGTTGGTTTCTATAAATATATAATTATAAATTAAAATGAAAAGATAAATATACATAAATATCAATAAAATAAAATAAATACAAAAAATACACAAATAAATAAAGATCCAACCAGATGGAAGCCCTCGGCAGGGGAGACCAAACGGCCGAGGGTTAGGGGGAAAGGGAAAGCAACCGATGGACGATGCGGGCGGTATCGAGGACCACTGCCTTCTGCATTTGAGCCCGGAGCGGTCCGTCACGGAGTCCCAGTCGCCTCAGATGACCCGAGAGGCTGACTGGGATTAGCCCATTCGCAGAGACGACTACAGGAATAATTTCGGTCGGCCAACCACCCCAGGTGGGTCAGTTTTCGTTTCGGCTTTCACGAGATTCTCGTCGTACGGAATGGTAATGTCGACCAAAAATATCCTTGACTGTGCCCGGTCCATCAGCACAATATCAGGCTTATTTGCAATAATAGTCCTGTCTGTGATGATGGCCCGGTCCCAGTAGAGCCTGGCGCGGTCATTTTCGAGCACGGCTTCCGGCAAGTACTTGTAATACGGCAATTTCCGGTCCACGAGACCGTATTTCAGAGCGAGCTCCTGGTGTAGAATTCTGGCTACTAGGTTGTGCCTGTGCAAGTACTCAGAGTTAGAAAGCGCCGAACAACCGGAGATGACATGCCTAAGTGACTCCCCGGGATGGCGACAAGCTCGACAGACGTCGACGGTGCCATCCTTTAGGATGTATCTCCGATAGTTGTTGGCTTTAGGATGTATCTCCGATAGTTGTTGGCTTTAGGGTGTATCTCCGATAGTTGTTGGCTTATTATTATTATTATTATGTTGTTTACTTTCACATCTCGGCTTTTACCGGTTTACTAATAGCACGGGCCTAAGCCAAGTGTACATTAGTGCTGGATTTGGTATTATCTAACTACCTTATTCTGTTACTTGTGTGTTAAGTTGTTAGGCAATTTGTCGAATTATGGGTGTGGTTTGTTCTTCAGTTTGCAGAAACTTCCTAACTATTCTGCATGTATTTAGTATTACAGCTTTCTGTAACAGTTTGTATGTGTTGGGTGGTAAATTTAAAGTTTTTATAGATTGGTGCAATTGCTTCGGTATTACATTATTATTAACAATTGCTCTTTGGTATTTTTAACAACTCAGATTTTCAACAAGAAAACGATATCGAATACTGATATATTTTTCAAATATACATTTTACATATTATGCTTTTTCTCAGGATCTCAGGGAACAGTTATGACTATAGCTTATATCTTCTTCTTCTTCAGTTGCATCATATGTAGCCTCGTTTTTTGAGCCATCACATTCTCAGTTGTTGAATTAATCCTTTTCACACGATTACACTTACCGGTGCTAACGTTATGTACACAATTTGTTTACATGGAATTGCAATGTCCTTCAAATATCTTTTGTGATGTGTGGATAAGAAGTTGGTCTGAAAAATATATTTGAGCGAATGTAACTATTTTTTCGCCAACACCAGTGGCGACCCCGGCAAAATTTTTAGGTGGTGTGAGATCTCATAGTGGCGGCCCTCTAAATAATTTATTAGTGTTCCTATACTATGCAGTTGCTTATTCGTGATTTAAAATAGTACCTGATTGATTTTAATAGACCTATCAAATATCTACAGGTGTATAATATGCACACCTGTAGATATTTTGTAAGAGGCACACTGAACCTAAGCGTTAAGTTGCAGAGGTCTCGTCTAATGAAGTCAACGCTTCGTCTCCCTCGTGCTCTAATTCAGAATCCCGAAACCTTTCAGCTCGAGTTACGTAACCGCTTTCAGTGTCTAGAAGATTGCAATGCAGTGGTCGATATGAATGACAAGCTCGTGGAAACCGTCCATGTGGTCAGAGCTAAGTTTTGCAAGACCCGCCGCAGAAGAACACAAAAACTCTCCGATCACACCCTTAATCGCATGGCTATTAGACGGGAGATGAGACTGCAATCGTCAACAGATTCGACAGCGTGCAGGCAACGGAACAGACAGATCTCCAAATGCATGAGGCGAGACTTGCGCAACTTTAATACTGCTCGTATTAAAGAAGCGATCCAGCGGAACCAGGGCTCCAAAGTATTTTCCAGAGATCTGTCTGCCAGAAAAAGCCAACTGTCAAAGCTGAAGACTAAGTGTGGCAGCATCGTTTCCGGGACACTTGAGATTTTGAGTGAGATTGAGAGGTTCTATGGGCAGCTGTACACGTCATCGTTGGAGCCACACGCAAGTGTGAGTAACGATCCAAGAGCAAGTCTTACCCAACACTATTCCGATGATATCCCGGACGTCAGTCTGAGCGAGATTAGAATGGCTCTCCAGCACCTTAAAAACGGCAGGGCCCCAGGTGAAGATGGAATTACAGAGGAGCTTCTGAAAGCGGGTAGAACACCGGTACTTAAAGTCCTTCAGAAGCTCTTCAATTCCGTTCTTCATGGTGGCAATACTCTGGAGGCATGGAGCAGAAGTGCGGTAGTCTTGTTCTATAAGAAAGGCGACAACGCTCTCTTGAAGAACTACAGACCGATTTCCCTTCTGAGCTGCGTCTACGTGCTGTTATAGAGAGTCATCGAGTCTCACACGCAGACTCGACGACTTCCAGCCTTCCCGAAGAAGCCGGTTTTCGAAAAGGCTTCAGTACCATAGACCACATACATAACCTGCGGCAGATTGTACAGAAGACCGAAGAGTACAATTTGTCACTTTGCTTGGCATATGTGGACTATGAGAAAGCCTTTGATTCCGTCGAAATTTGGGCGGTGCTGCAGTCCCTTCAGCGGTGCCAAGTTGACTCTCGGTATATCAGGTGTCGTAAGAGGCGACAGAGGGAGACAGGCAGGAGATGGGCAGCAGCATCTTCCTAATAATAACACTAATATAATAAAAAACTGCGTTTGCGAACCCGCTTGCCAAGCGTGGGCAACTATGGCAAATATCCCCCCATGAATAACGAAGCACACAAATGGCCCCAGTCCCCGGCGGCCCCGCTATCCCTGACTACGGTGGCGACCATAGTAACGGCGGGGCAGGGGGTGATAAGAATCTCCGGTGGAGGTTCGGTTGCCACCTACGACGACTCGACCTGGCAACATATAACGCACGCACCCTGAGGTCGAGCCTCGATGGTTCGACAAAAAATGAGATTGACTTCATTATGACGACCAGACGCCAACTTTCGTATGTCTCAGTGATTGCAAGGGTGAAAACTGGCAGCGATCACCGAATGGTTAGAGGCACACTGAACCTAAACGTTACGTTGGAGAGATCTCGTCTAATGAAGTCAACGCTCCGTCCCCCCTCGTGCTCTAATCCAGAATCCCGAAATCTTTCAGCTCGAGTTACATAACCGCTTTCAGTGCCTAGAAGATTGCAATGCAGTGGACGATATGAATGACAAGCTCGTGGAAATTGTTCATGCGGTCTGAGCTAAGTTTTGCAAGACCCGCCGCAGAAGAACACAAAAACTCTCCGATCATAATCTTAATCTCATGGCTGTTAGACGGGAGACCCTTCCTTTCGGCAAATTGTACAGAAGTCCGAAGAGTACAATCTGCCACTTTGCCTGGCGTATGTGGACTATGAGAAAGCTTTTGATTCTTTCGAAATTTGGGCGGTGCTACCGTCTCTTCAGCGGTGCCAAGTTGACTGTCGGTATATCGAAGTGCTGAAGTGTTTGTACAGTAGGGCTACGATGGCTATCCTAGTACAGAAACAGAGTACGAAGCCTATCCAACTGCAGAGAGGTGTAAGACAGAGTGACTGTATTTACCTACGATATAGTCCTTATGGCAGAATCGCTGGAGGGCTTAAGCACTATGCTCAATGACCTCAATAGTGCCTCCCAACGGATAGGTCTTAAGATGAACATGGATAAAACTAAGATCATGTTTAATGTCCATGTCACACCCATGCCGGTAGTTGTTGGGAGCACTATGCTCGAAGTTGTTGACGAGTACGTTTACCTGGGACGAATAGTCCGACTAGGTTAGTTCAACTTCGACCGAGAGGTCAATCGATGGATTCAACTCGGCTAGGCAGCGTTCTGGAAATTACGACGCATCTTCTCGTCAGG